CGTGGTGTCCCCCACCCCACGCAGGACCGAGCCCTGTGGCCAGCTGGGGTTTGGCCTGTGAGCTGGGTGTAGGTGGCACCATGGGGGTGCCTGCCCACCCTTCAGGCTCCCCTCCAGCTCCCCATAACCTGCCTTTCCCACCCGTGTTCCAGATCAAATCCCAACAGAGTGAAGTAACCAGAATCCTCGATGGGAAAAACATCAAGTACGAGCTGGTGGATATCTCCCAGGACAACGCTCTGCGGGAGGAGATGAGGGCAAAGGCAGGCAACCCCAAAGCCATCCCGCCCCAGATCGTCAACGGAGACCACTACTGTGGGGTAAGGCTTGTGCTCTGCACTGGGAATAAGCACCGTGGGGGCTGGGGGGTGGGCAATAATCCCATTCTCTTGGTTTTGCCACAAATGGTGTCACAACACCTTTCAAAAAGCATCATGAGGTGCATGGACAAGGCACTGCCAGGGTTAATGGGCATTTGGAACATGGTGGTTTGTGAAAAATGGGACCTAGGGAGGAGGACTCTGTGTAACTGTGGGGCAGGGGTGTCTGCGCTGTGCGGGGCTGTCCCTGCATGTCCCTGTCACCCTCCGTGTGACTGTCACTCGTGTTGTGAACCAGTTTGTGCTGCGTGCTCAGGGGACTCCACGCTGCCTGATCCCGGTGGGGGCATGCAGCTCACTCTTGCCTCGTGAGGAACAATGTGGCTCTTCCCTGCAGGATTACGAGCTCTTTGTGGAAGCGGTGGAGCAAAACACCCTGCAGGAGTTCCTGAAGCTGGCCTGAGCCCCGGGCTCCCCTCCCGTCCTGGACTCTACCTGCATTCCTGAGCACCCTCATCTCCCACCACCTTCACTTCCAGGTTGTCAGCGCTCTCCTGGCACCGTGACCCGTCTCCCAGCGTAGGGAACAAACCCATGACCAAAACTACTCATTGCAGCTGCCTACAATTCCCTCCTGCCTAACCCTGATAATCATTTCAGAGGGATCCAAAGAAAGTCTGACGCTCGCTGGGCATGGCCTTTCAACAGAGCTGGGCCTGGCTCACACCGCAGCTTCCAGTGCCTCTGTAAACAGCAAAGCCTCTGGGGCTGTGCGAAGTGCAGCCGTCCGTCAGCCCTCTCCTCTGCAGGGAGAGCTTCTGCTTTAGGAGGGGAAGGGCTTAGGGTTGCATGTTACTTCCCACTTCTCCCAGTTGCTGTTAAAATTGTAAATCCTGCTGCCTCACTTCCTTTTTTTTCCTTTTTCCTTTTTTTTTTTTTTCATCTCAACCGCAGAGATTATGGCAACTAAGTTGAATTTTTTTTGTTTGTTTGTTTTAATTTAATGCAAAAATACTGCACAAAGCTGGGGTCTGAATGCCCACTGCAGAGGAGGCCGGGGGCAAAGGCTGGTGTCACTTGGGGAGGGGGATGGATGGGCCTAAAAGTGGGCCCCGGGCTGCTCCTCCGTCTGCCCTCGGCCCCGCTGCGGTGCCAGGGCTCCCTCGTGAGCGGTAATGGCTCAGGGCTGCTCCAGAACAGCTGATGCTCCAGCTGTCTTACCTTTCCTCTTTGAGTTGGCTTTTTATTATTTTTATTTTTTTTTTTGCAACCCGGACCAAGTGCATTTTGTTTTCCTGCCAAAAAGCGAGTTGTTTATAACCAGTGTTGTCTTCCGAGATGCTATTAAATGTTACTGTACCTTTCACCTCGGTACTCCTGGGCTTCTTTTTAAATTTGGTTTTATTTTGACTACAGGTTAAACGTCACCCTTCCTAAAGATTCTGAGTCATTTCCAGCTCAGAGAACCCGAGTCAGTTGGTACTTGCTGCTGCAGCCTGACACAAAGATCTTAACACCTTAGATTGCTGCCACCTAATCAAAGGCTCAAAGGACTTATCTGAATATTCTACAGCGTGGTAGTGACAGGTACCTCTCAAGAATTCCTCTCCTCTGCGTGGTAAGAACGACAGCCTGGGGGAGGGACAGCTTCAACCAGACACTGGAGTGAAAAACAACCCCCTGGCACAAAAACTACCTGGTTGGTTGTAGTCCAGGATATAGAGGGGCAGTGGAAAATGCTGCCCTATAGGAAGGTCTTCTGTACCTGCTATAGGTGGAAAAAGGAGGAAACTAACTTAGAGCAGTGGGGATTGTGTTACTGGTTAGGGAGAGCCTGTGGAAACAACTGGTTTGCACGAGTGGTTTCCTGTATTTGAGTTGTGCAGGGTCCAGCTCTGGTCAGGGGGGGTGTGGGGAGTGCTCTGGGCATCCTGCCCCCTTCCACAGCGACTGCGCCTTCGCAGCCTTAATGGAAGTGTGGAAACTGCAACTTAAATAAATGGTTTTATTGGGAGCCTTTAATGAGGGCTGGGTCTCTGCTAAGAGGGAACCTGCCAGAAGGCGCTGCCTCGCGCAAGTGGGAGTGTTGTCAGCTGGGAGTCAAGTGGGAGCTTGTCACAGCTCAAACAGGAAGAATGTGCTGGGGAAAAGGGGCCTGCAAAGTGCAGCCCCAGCCCCCGGGAGAGGGAGGAAGATGCTGTCCTCAGGGCTCAGCAGAGGAACAGCAAAGGGATAATGCTCTTCTCCAATGACACGGTGTCCTGTTGCAGCATCCAGCTCCTGGCTGCTGAGGGAGGGAGGGAGGCAGCTCGGAGCCCGTTGTGGCTGTGAGCCTGGGCCCTGCTGGAGCTGGGGGCTGTCCAAGGGGAAGGAGTTGTTCACGTACAGAAAACCCAGTAGCAGGATCTCCTGGCTGAGATGGGTCTGGCTCAGTCCCAGCATTGCAATGGCTCAAGGGCTTTTGGTTTAGCTTCGCTAGGGACCGTATAACTGAGCCTGTTTCTCTCGTGGTCTAAGAGCAGTTGAAATCTCTGGGGAGCAGCTGTGTTTGGAAAGCAAATTGACCCTGGCTGTTTGTCTGTCCTGCTGTAGAGAATCCCTGAGCCCAGCTGAGCGACTCCCTGGTAGCAGTGTAAAGTATAAACTCCAGCAGAGGTGAGAAACCAGGCTTTGGGTTTGAGCTGACAGAAGTGCCCCCGTGTAGGAGCCCACCTATCTTGGGGAAAAGCACCCACCTGTGAGGCAGCAGGGCTGGGTCTGGCACCCACTGCCACAGGGAGAGGCCAACCCCCCCCTCCCAGCTCTTCTCTCCATCCCAGGTAACGGCACAATGAAACTAAATCTGGAAAGACAACCCTCTCTTCTCTTCCCACCCGGGGGAGGTTATGACACAGCTAATGGTGCAAGACAGCTCCTTCCTCTTGCAGAGCTTGGGACGAGCAGCTCTTGCTGGGAGCTGTTTGTAGCCCTGTCTCCTCTTGTTGGGAGGGGTCTCTTCTCCGCAGCAGCAAGGAGGCATTGGGGACCAGGCCACATTCCTGCAGGCTCCTGGAGTTGTCTGCGTACACCCTCTGGGGAAAGGTACTGATGATCTCATACGAGTCGGAGTCTCCACCCCTAGGAAAGAACAGCACAATCTTTCCTACATATGGGATCCCCCAAGGTTTTGCCGAGATGCTCTGGCTCATCCAGCTGCGGTTGGGTAAGAGCAGAGGGAGAGACTGTTTCACAAGCACAGGCCGAGCAGAAAAAATAGGGCTTCCTGCCCAAACTGCAGACAGCCAGGCACAGAGCGGCCCTTCCAGGCTGCACAGCTGCAGTGGGGAAGGAGGCTCTTGCATCCCAACAGCAGTGAGCTCATCGTGGGCTCAGGCTGAGGCCAGAGCTATGGCCTGCAAGAGGGGTGAGCCTTGACAGGGACCTGGGGGTGTTGGTCGACTGTCAGCTGAACGTGAGCCAGCAGTGTGCCCAGGTGGCCAAGAAAGCCACCAGCATCCTGGCCTGTATCAGGAACAGCGTGGGGAGTAGGGCCCGAGGGGTGGTTGTCCCCCTGTACTGGGCACTGGTGAGGCCTCACCTTGAGTGCTGTGTCCAGTTTTGGGCCCCCTACCATAAAAAAGACATTGAGGTGCTGGAGCGGGTCCAGAGAAGGGCAACAAAGCTGGTGAGGGGTCTGGAGAACAAGTCTTATGAGGAGAGGCTGAGGGAGCTGGGGGTGTTCAGCCTGGAGAAGAGGAGGCTGAGGGGAGACCTTCTTGCTCTCTACAACTACCTGAAAGGAGGGTGTAGAGAGGTGGGGGGCGGTCTCTTCTCTCAAGTCACAGGCGACAGGACGAGAGGAAATGGCCTCAAGTTGCACCAGGGGAGGTTCAGGCTGGATATTAGGAAAAATTTTGTCACTGAAAGGGTTCTCAGCCATTGGAATGGGCTGCCCAGGGAGGTGGTGGAGGCACCATCCCTGGAGGGGTTCAAAAGAGGGGTTGATGTAGTGCTGGGAGGTATGGTTTAGTGATGATGCTCCTTGTTTGTTGTGTGGGTGTCTATTTTTGTCAGTTAGGTTGACAGTTGGACAAGATGATCTTTAAGGTCCCTTCCAACCTAGAAGATTCTGTGGTTCTGTGACTGTCCCCAAAGCTGTCCCCAAAGCCCTTGGGCAGCATTGAGTGTCCTGGAATGTAGACCATTGTGTTTGTCCATCATCCAAAGCTTCCAGGCTTCACCAACACCTTGGGAGGATGTAGAGGTGTCTGAGCAAACCATTGTGTTTGTCCATCATCCAAGCTTCCAGGCTTCACCAACACCTTGGGAGTGGTGGCAATAGGCAAGTGCTGCCGAGCAGCTGGAAGGAGGCAAAAGCAGTGATGGACCTGGGTCAGGTGACACTTTTGAGAGGACAAAAGAGGCTTATCTCTGCTGCTGCGTCAGCTTTTCGGGAAAGGTGGGGATTAAATGCTCTGAGCTAAGTGTGACCCTGGCAGTGCTTCCCAGAGAGCACCTCTGCTCTTGGGAGGAGCTAAAGCAGCTCCTAGGTGCTCAGCAGCTCCTGGGGCTGAGACTGTAACCCTCAGCCTGCTCGGTTGAGGATGATCTGTCTGAAGCAGAGCTCCAGGGCCTTCAGCCACAGCAGAGAACCCTTCCCTGGGGACCTACACAGCGAGGAGGGGAGGAAGTCCTAGACCTACCTGGCATGGGTGAGGTGCTGGCGCAGGTCCCCTATGGTCTCTGTGAGCAGCATCTTTACGATGTACGTCTGCTCCCCGCTCTCAGATTTGATGCGGAGGGTGCAGACAGCAGGGCCAGAAGCTTCAGCCTCTTCAGCTGTCTTCACCCTGGAGGTTAGAAAACCTCGTCAGCTGAGGAGTGAAGGCTCTGCTGGCAGCAGAGCTTCTGGGCTCCCAGGGTGATGCAGACAGGGAAGAGGTGTTCCATGTTTTGGGAATGTCCTTGAGATGATGAAGGAGGCCCAGTCTGGTTGTGGGTGGGCAGACCGACCCGTAGACTTTGCTTTCACTGCTTAGAGGTGCCTCAGAAAGGGGGTTGCTGACCTTTTTTAGCTTTTTCATTTTAGATCAGTGCTGACTGATAAGTACTTTGCCCTACTTTTTTGATTAAAAATAATCTGCTTGGGGTTTTTTCATTAGCTATTTGCGTCTTGTCTTGCCAGAAGACTATGAGTGGAAAAGTGTTGTTAGTGTGACCTCCCACTTGGGCATCAGTTTCCTGGAGGAATTCTCCCATTTAACATGACCACAAACAGCTTTTTAGGTGGTTTCAAACTCCTAGGCCTTGGCTTGCTGTCGGGAAAAGTATTTCACAGCAGTATTTTGAACACCAGAAGCTTTCATTATTTCATTCATGGGTTGGACTAGATGATCTGCAGAGGTCCCTTCCAACCCCATAGCATTCTGTGATTCATTAGAGATGTACAAGATGGCAGGCTTACCATGAAAAATTTGGTGGTCTTCCCAAAAGACCAAACTTGGCCTATATTTCTAATTATTTCTAAGGTATTAAAATGGTGAGTCCATTTACTGCCTCAATTAAACTTCTGAAATAAGCCCTCAGTGATGAAATAGGAGGAAGATGAGAGCCTGACAGGGCAGGGATGAAGGGGTCTGTACCTCTCCAGGGCAGACAGCCTGGGTGTCTCCACCAGGATCTCTTTGCTGCTCCGCACCCCACCAGCGCCCTGAAACCAAACCAGGTGAGTGTCACCAGTGCCAGGAAAGCCCAGAGGCAGGTGCCAAAGTGCCACGTGTGCTCTGGTGGAGCCTCTCTGGGAGGAGGAGGTTACACAGAGCCCAGAGGCCCAAGGATGGGGTGCCAGTGCTGTGCAGGGCACTGAGCCTGGGGAATTGCTGCCAGTCTCACCCTGTGGGTATTTGGGGGATCCGCTCATACCTGCTGTGCTGTTCTAGCTGAGCATTGGGCACCAATCACTTCTCCTCTGTGTTTTGAGGACTTAGAAAGCGTGTTGAGAAGCTCCTCCAAGGAGACTGTGCGACCTGCTGGAGCAGAGAGGAGATGTGTCCATGTGTGACCTTTCTGACAAACCATTTTCCCCCAGAACAGGCTGATTTGGTGAAAGGAGAGAGCACAACAGCCGACAGGGAGAGCTCTAACCTCCCCTAGTTAGGCTGAGACTGGTTTCTGTCTCCCCTGTTGAAGCTTGTCCCACTTTCTGGCCCACGAAATGTTTGATTGTCAACATCAACAGCGAGCGACTGCGCTGCCTTTTCAGCACACAGCTGGGATGCACAGCGGGGGGAAACCTGCTCAGCCCTGCTGTGAACAGGAAAAACTGAAAATATGACAGTTCTTACGGGCTTGGAAAATTTTTCATCTTGTGAGGGTGTATTTGTGGGTATCCATTCCTTTTTCTGTGGGGGCACCGGGCAATTATTTCCTCTTACTACTCGGATAAAGGAGAGGTTTAGCACAGCTTCTCTTTGTGAACAGTCTTGAGATGAATGAGCGAGTGGTTGGGTTTTATGTAAATAGGAAGCTGTTGCTGATGGGCAGTGCACATGTTTGGGTTCTTTAGTTATGCGTGCACAAACCCACTATTTTCTGTCTGTATGACTGACTGCATTTGACTCTCCAACCCCGACAGGTATTTCTTATACAGACTGCTAGAGTCTAGAGGCAAAATGAGGAATCTGTGGCCTCACTTTATGTCCTGTATCCTCTTAGGAAAGTCTAAAGAGGAATCGTTCCGTATTCAGTACAGTTAAGATCAGTCTGGCTTAAAAACTTCCACTTTTACAGAAGGAGCTTGTAGGAGAACCGAGGGCTGTTTGCAAGCTACCCCAGCCCAGATCTGCAGGGTTCCCCTCCTACCAGCTGGATCGCCCCCATAAGGTTTTGATTCTCCTTTTTGGGAGTTAACTGCAGTTTTGAGGCAGGCTTAAGGATTTACCTGGGATCTCGGTGGTTTTCTGCACGTCACTTGATTTTGAGCGGCCGACCACTTGGCCGTGGCCAGGAAAACTCCCTGGAAGGTCTCTCTCCTGAAATACCACGTCCCTTCTGTCAGTGACCTGTTGAATTAAGGCTGAATGCCATAAGCAAGTCTGACTGTTGTACAAGCTTGATCTCACAGCATCAGAGCACAATAAACCACAGCAATGACAACCAAGACTTGTAAACACCACAAGAAACCAAGAGAGCTGCTTCCTCAGGAGCTGCTCCAGCTGCCCAAACTGTGCTTGGACTTGACCTTCCTCTGTGTCTGCTTGAAAATGCTCTCCAGGTGGAAAGTGATGTGAAAGCAGCAGTTTCAGGGTGGAGAGGGATTTGGCAGGAAGAAGCTGCAGTGGGGACTGTCGGATGGCTCTAAAAAACCAAAAAAAGGCAGAGTGCTCCCCTGAGGCCCCCAGCAGTGGGGAAAGCTGTATGAGTAAGGGATGTCTCTCTGTCTGGGTTCCACTTCTGGTCCTCTTACACCTGCCTGGCCATCTCTAAGGTGGATGTGTTCTGTGTCTGTGTTTACCCCAGGTTACTGTACTATCCTGTGGCTTCCAGATGTGGCCAGCTGTGAACAAATTACAGGGAACCACAGCCACAAAAGCCTTGCACATTCCTTCCTCTTCTACCTCACTTTAACTACTGCACCTACCAGCTCACTCTGGCTGCCCGTGCAGTTGTGCCCTGCTTTCTTCGTGGCAGAGGGCAGGTGCACCCCTCTGCTTGTGCCTGCTTACGTTTCAGATGCACTCGAAGACCTAGATTAGAGTCCCCTGAGGTTCTGTGCCTGCTTTCTGCCTGAAAACGTGGCCTTGGCTTTTTGCCAGTTCAGAGAAATCAAAAAGCGGGGCCCAAAAGAACCTCAGGTGGCCAAAACCACTTAAATTGTGACAAAAGAAACTCTCCCGACATCCTCCTTGAGAGAGACTTGTTCGATCTGTTTTTAAACAAAGCTTTTTCCGGAGGAACTATTTAAGAACTTTTGTCACCTTTTTGTTACGCAGCTGTTGAGAGGCTGCACGTACTATTTCTTCTTCTGCAAAGCTTGCTGTGCTCTTAGAAGTTTTGTTCCCAGCCCAGATTCACCGAGGCAGAGAAACCAATTCAGTCCCAATGTCGAAATGCTCGTTTACTTCCCGTAACGGCTCTAGCAGGTGTGTTCCCAGCCATGCACAGAATTAAGCTGCATGTAGGCCTTTTTCAAAAACCCTGAACTTTATTTTACAGAATCACAGAATCTTCTAGGTCCCCTTCCCCGAGATAAACATGCACAGAATTAAGCTACATGTAGGCCTTTTTCAAAAACCCTGAACTTTATTTTACAGAAGCACAGAATCTTCTAGGGTGGAAGGGACCTTAAAGATCATCTTGTCCAACCGTCAACCTCACTGACAAAAATAGACCCCCACACAACAAACAAGGAGCATCATCACTAAACCAGACCTCCCAGCACTACATCAACCCCTCTTTTGAACACCTCCAGGGATGGGGCCTCCACCCCCTCCCTGGGCAGCCCATGCCAATGGCTGAGAACCCTTTCAGTGACAAAGTTTTTCCTAATATCCAGCCTGAACCTCCCCTGGGGTAACTTGAGGCCATTTCCTCTTGTCCTGTCACCTGGGACTTGAGAAAAGAGACCGACCCCCACCTCTCTACACCCTCCTTTCAGGGAGTTGTAGAGAGCAATAAGGTCTCCCCTCAGCCTCCTCTTCTCCAGGCTGAGTAACCCCAGTTTGCTGTGGGGAGCATCCGGCAGATTGGTGAAAGCAACTGGAACTATTTTTTTGGGAGGCAAAAGAGCAATTTCTTCCAAAAAAGCTGCTGAAGGGGGGTTTGTCCTGCTTACCTGCAAAGGGATGCCGTCTGGGTAGCGCATCTGCAACTCTGAAGGGAAATACCCATCCATAATATCCTGCAGGCATTGCTGAAACAAAATGAGAGCTCATGGTCATACCACAGACTTCCTATTTCTCTCATGACTGATAGATTCCTTCTGGGCTGCTCCTGTTTGTGGCATTACTGCCGTGCAGAAAAGTCTGCATAAAAAGACGCAGAATCTTCATCTTTAAAAATTACCAAAGACACACTAGTCTTTAAAGGCACCATGGGAATGGCAGGTGAGAAGCTAGAGGTCTCAATGGCTGCTTCTTTTTAGGACTGGGATGAGCTCACAAGCCCTATTCCTACACGTGCCCTTTCCTGAGGCTTAGTGAAGGACAGAGGGATGGCTCTAAGTCTAATTCCTCTACAGACCTTTCCGTACCTGTGTGGATGGGTCCTCGTAGGGCCGAAAGGCTCCGTTGAACATCACGATCCCATTTTGATAGAGTGTCAGAGGGAGGGGTTTGGGCTGTCTGAGCCGAGCACCCCCAGGCGTGTGCTCGATCTGAGAAATGCCTTCTCCAGCCAGCACGTTCAAATCCTTCACCTTTTCCAAGATTAAATCAAAATCAATCTGGTGTTTGGAAACGACTGCTTCACCTGCGGCAGAGGGGTCAGAGTTAGAGGGGGAAGGGGACAAGCAGCTTTCACTTCTGCATGGATGTGTTCGAGGTGTGTATGAGTCCTAACATTTTGGGGCTGTTATTCTGCCTCTCCATGCTTTGCTTTTTGCACTTGTGTGGTGCAACACGGCTGTTGTGGTGCTGTGCTGGCAGGTTTGCATGGGTGTGTGCAAACCACGAGGGCAGGGCAGCAGGGAAACAACCCTCTTGCTGCAAGCTGCTCTCACCCCAGAGCAGCTACGGATGCAGCCAGCTCTTTCGAGAGCGCGCTCAGCATCTTCCCCTTGGTTGTAATTTCAAAAAAAGTGTCGTGTCGGCCCTTAACGTGGTGCTGTGAGAAATGCAAGGACTGAGGAACTTAACTAGTTGGATTAACTAGATTGGATAAATGGATCAGGGCAGACTCGCTGTAGGAGTGCCAGGGTAAACACAGCCAGGTGCTTGCCACCGGCAGATTGCTTGCCCTCGCTGCGGATGTTTATCTGGGTGGTAGGGAGGTTGGTAGGGTGAAGCAGTGAGTTGTGATAGGAGAGAAAACTGAAATCAGAGGAAACGAAAGAAGAGATGTAGGTAAAGCTAAAGGCTTTGGTATTTTCTGTTCTGCTTTTTTAATGATTTGATAAAGGAGGGCAGCTTTGATGAAGGGTGAACTGAAAACAACGTAAATTATTTCCGCTGCTTCCCTCGTTTTCTACCCTCCTGTATCTAAGGGAGGGAAGGCTTAGTTAGCTAATATTTGCATGATGGTTAGGAAGCAGCATTAGTGGTACAGTCCAAATATTATTCTTTTTTTTTTTTCTCCTCTATTACTGCTTCCTAAGAAGCCATTGCCAAATCTGCTTGGATCCCATACAGCACAATCAGGTCTCAATTAAACCACTCACGTGGTAGTTGGGAGGAAAAGCAAACAATACTCTCTGATGGAGCCAGACAATATGGGTAAGTTACTATGTGCTACTATATACACAAAGCATCTGATTCCGTTTTCCACCCATTTTACGTCAATGTTATTAGAGCAATCAAGCTTCAAACGTTTAGGGTATGGGAACTCTTCAGGAAGCAGTTGCTTTGAGGGTATCCTTCCAAATGGCTGAGCCATGGGGTTCTCTCCTCTTCCTCTAGACAGGGCTTACAAAATTTAGGTATATAGAATCCCAACATTCTGCCTGGCTTAGCTCTTGTTAAGTTGCTTCATGTCTCTGTCCCTCAGATGGACTGGTGTGAAGACCTCAGCAGAGGATCACAAATTCTGAAGGCCCAAATCCAAGGGTCTTGGATGCTTATATGCTCTGGAAGTATCATACCTTGTCTAATCAAGCAGCAGGAGCTAGAATAGCTGCTTCAGCACAGAGTGCTGGTGTTTTACCTGGCTTCCAGAGGCTCCTTGCTGGTAGCTCTTCTTCATCCTTGAGCGATTCTAAATCTTCCAGGTGTTCATGTCTCTCTCCGACCCAAATCAGACCATAGTCATTTAGAAACCGCTTTAAGAGGAAAGTAAAAGTCAGAGTTGTAGACCAGAGCTTTGGAAAACTAGAAACAGAAGCCTGAGAGCTGCAACTGTGAGAAGCAGAAGGGGAATTGGAAGAGAAGGTTTGTCTTGAGGCTTTTGGGCCCTGGCAGATGTACAAACTCACTGGCAGGGCAGTAGTAGAAGCTCTACTATTAGTAGGCAAAAGGGAGAATGAAAGCATCTGTAGTGACCCAGTAATCTCCCAAGACTGTAGTAGCTGTAAAGAATATTTCTACAGCCCTGAAAATCAAAATGAAGAGGCTTGCAGGAGGCACAAATGTTTGTGTATTAAAATAAAACTCTTGCTGCCTTGTAGCTCACATGCAACTTCTTTCTTTTCAGAGGTGTGAGGTGAAGAATTGTAACAACCAAAGTGTCAGCTTGAAAAAGACCAAGCAGCCCAACGATCTCAAACCAGAGGAGCAGATGGCTTAGGGCGAGTGGCTCACCTCCATCTCCCAGACCTGGGTCTGCAGCTGAAGGCACCTAATTTCCAGTTCCTCTGCTGTGGGTAAGTCAGGAGCATCTGAAAGGGAGAAGACTTCTTGTTTCTACGTACACCCTTAAAGAAGAGCCATAGATAACCTGTGTCACACAGCACAGATGCCCCAGCAGTCCCTGCCTGTACTGTTAAGTGAACTCTTAGCCTGTATGACACGAGCTGAGTATGAGCTCTGCATGCTGGTCCCTGCCAATTCAACCTGCAGCAGTTTGATGAAGGTGCCAATAAACTAACAGATAGTTGTGAATGACACTGGGGAAGTTTGATGCTGCAGGAAGCTGATGTGAGCAGTGCTGTTTGCAATTATACAATGAGAATTGCTTGGCTTACTCAGTCTTAAGGGACCCATTTAAAAAAATGAGCAGGTGTCCACTAAAGCTGGATCCAGAAGCCAAGGCTGAGTGGCTAGAACAATGCACGAGGAGGTATAAAACATGTGTTTTCGGTTTGGCGGGCATGTTCTGCTGTGCTCAGGAAATGGAGAACTCACCACAGCTTTTTGCTAAACCAAGGTGGTTCAGCTGTTGTGGGAAATGTGTTGGGCCTCAGCCGGAGAGCTGCTGGATTCCAAGAAACTGAAGGGGGTGGAGAGACCTTCAGTGACTCACTCAAAGCTGGGTTCAATTTAGAGCAAGGCTGCCTTATAGGACAAGTGAGCCTGGACCTGTAACGCTGTTCGGGACTCCAAGTAGATTTTTTTTGTTTTACATACCTGTGAGTAGCTCTGTTTTTCCAGCCTGTTTGAACTCTGCAGTTTTTAAGGGGTTTTTTCTGACCATCCTCAGGTATCTGTGTGGTTGGTCTGTGTGCGTGGAAACTTAGTAACGCGTCGAAAACAGGTCAGGAAATAACATGTTGAAATGCACCAGAAAAGCCGCATCACATATGAAAATATAAAGTGCTTTGGTAAACAGTACTCTGTGTGTGTAACTGATACTGCTCTCTGAAGAGGCCCTTGGGCTTTGGAGGCAAGGATGGCTCAGAGACAAGGTCTCTGTTGCAGCAGCAGGAGCTCTGTAGCTCTCCCACAGGTAGGAGCAAGGTGCCAAGGGTAGAACGATTTTTTTACCTTCTCCTTTCTGAAGAGTCTTCATCTTCTCTTCCAGTTCAGCAATCCTCCTGTCCTTCAGGACCAGAACAAATAATGACCTTAATTAGTTCCTTGGCCTTCAGAACCTTGAGGCACAGTTTGCATAATTAGTCCTGGCTGGGTGAGTCAGTGGGACGCGGACTCTCACCCCACTTGGAGACAGGCAAAATAAGGGTCAGAAAGGCTGTATCACTTCACAAATACCTTAATTAGACTCAAATGAGGGGTGGGATATAAATATACAGCACCAAGAATAGGAGAGAGGGGCATGCTGACCTATCTTCACCTTCTCCATCTGCACAAGAGCTACAGGGAGCCACGCAGGCTCGTGCCCCTGTGCTTCCCCCTCAGGCACAGCTCGTGCTCTGACCTGCCATAAGTGGCTGATCTGGAAATGAAACCAGCATCTCTGCAGTCACCTCTTAAATACTTTTTCTTATTTTTATTTTTTTTATTCTAAGCTGCAAGAATGCAAAGAGGTCTGCCCCAGGATGATTCTGCTCCACTTCTTAAATACCTTTTCTTATTTTTATTTTTTTTTATTCTAAGCTGCAAGAAGGCAAAGAGGTCTGCCCCAGGATGATTCTGCTGCATAAGCAGCTGTTGTTTTGGAAAGTAAAAGGAGAAGAAAGGGCTGAAGCCAAACAGCTAGTGATGTGTGTGAAGGGGTGCTGAGAATCTTCAAGAAGTCACCCCAAGGACTGATACAGTTGCTCTGCAGTTTTCCAAAGGCTTGTTTGTGTAACTGACAGAGCAGGCTACAGACTAACTTGTTTTAGCCCAAACCAGGTCTGAGCTGATGCTCCTGTGGCTTCAACCATCAAAGCAGGGCACAGAGCAGGTTCAGTAAGGGGCAGGATTTTTACCTTCAGCTGGATTTCTTGTGCTTGTTCATCTATTTTTTGTTCCAACAGGGTGATTTTTTGCATCAGGGAGGACACGGAGTCCATGTCAGCGTGAGCTGTGCCTGAAAGCACAAAAACAATGTGTTATCTCTCTAAAATGGCGATGGGTAGTGGAGGTTCATCTGTGCCATAGGGGACCCCACACAAGAATTCCTTTCCAGGTAGGACAAGGGGGTACCTTTTTGGGGAACTGGATAGAAATCCCTCGGCTCTTGAGTGGTGTATGTGAGAGGGGGACCACAGGAATTAACCCTGCCCTGGGGGTAGAGGACACCAGGCTCTGTCACTGAGAAACTGTGATGACCCAGAATCCCCTAATCATTGTGGGACTTTACCCTGCATGTTCTTTTTCAGCGTTGTCCCCCTTGAGCAGGAGGGGAGACTGCCTGGAGCTGGATCCTTTGTCCTGGGAGACAGACTGTCTTCTTCTGAGAAGAGGCACGAAAAGCATGAAAAAAAGAAAACAGGTCAATGTTTTGGATACGACTTCTCCAAAAGCAGGTAAAGAAATACTGGTGTTGTGCTGAGGGAAAGAGAGGGCCGGAGAAAGCAGGGTGGCCCAGTCTATTTACTCCCACAAGCACTCCAACTAATTAATGACTGTGTGTGGGCACTCGTTATGAGCCAGGACGCAAGGGAAAGTACAATCTCAGCAGCTGGAAAGAGTGAACATGAAATGGAGCTTGCAGAAAGAGACCATGGCACTAGTACAGAGCATCCTATGCTGCACAGTGAGGCAAAACGTGGTAATATTTAGCTATTTTAACAAAAAGGACAACACCCCGGGGTTAAGAGAAGCAGCACACTTCACTGGGAATGGAAAAGGAGGTTTTTGCTTTAAGATCTAGTTGGCAGGATGTGACCTAAAATGGAACTGTAAAAATAGATGAGGCTTTGCTGAGAAATGTGGAAACCTTTTGTTTCTTATCTGATTGTGGACACATGTAGGAGGGAAAGAGCTACAATAATTGCAAAACATGTAGGATAGTAAGAAAAGCCTTACCAGTGGATGGAATGAACTTGGGCTGCTTTGCCCTTTGAGTAAAAATAAGAAGGGATAATATGTAAAAAATAAAGCATGGCTTCATTAACTTTGGGAGGATTTGCTTGAGGGGCAGATTTTTAAAAATTTAATTGACAGGCCTGTTCAGAAAAGTCCAAACTGTATACTTTTCTCAACAGCCCATCTTCCCAGGCCGTACACCCTTGTTTTCTTGGCAGAGTGGGTGTTCATACACCCATAACTCGTCATTAAAATCCTTGAGCTGGAATGTGTGGGAGCTGCCTGAGAGCAGAGCGGGGTGAAAGCGGGGTGAGTGAGGTTCAGCAGGAGTGGGTGAAGGAGCTGACACTTGTGATGCCGTTGCAGCTGCAGAAAGCAACTCTTCTCCCCTTGAAACGGAGGAAACACAAACGTGATACGAACCTGTGTGAGACCTGAGTGACCCACATCCCCGGTTCCTGCTGGGGGCTGATGCCAGCCTGGAGGAGGCAGGTAAGAAATTTGGGGTGTTTTATTCCAGCTGGTGGTGTTGCAGAGTCTGTCACCCTCATGTGGGTCCCCAGTGGCAAAAAGGGGCTCAAAATAAGGGCGGCAACCGGTTACCTGTGTGTGTGAGGCCTGGGGGGGGAGGCCTGATGTGAGTGGCAGCGCTGGGGGCAGCCCGGCCTGTGCTGGGGGGAAATACAGTGTGTGTTGGGGGTCCCTCGTGGTGTGTGGGGGTTCCCCAAACCTCGGGGGAGGGGAGGGAAGAGGGAGGTCCCAAACGGCGGGGGGGTTCCCCTCGCCTTCCCCTCCCTGGCGCCACACTCACCCCGCGCTCAGCGTGCCGCCGCCATCTTGTTTACAGGCGGTTGCCGCGGCGACGCAGCGCCGCTGCCCATTGGCTCAGCCCCGATCACGTGAAAGGCGAGGCAGCCTGAGGACTATAGATCCCAGCATGCACCGCTCCGCCGCCCCTCAGGGACCCCGGCTATGGCGCGGTCACCCCGTCCAGGCCCGGAGTCCTGCGAGTTGCCTCACAGGACCCGTCGCCGTCCCTGCTTGTCCCCTCGGGGGCCACCAGACCCCAGTGCGCCTCGGGGGGATGCCCCGGGGCCACCCGGACCTGCGCCTGGGGGCGATTCGGCCTCCCGGCTCGTTGGCGGGGCCTTCCCGGCCTGCCTGAATCCTGAGGGCCGAGGAGGGAGGCTGAAGGGCTCCCCGTCTGTCTTCTGCCCTGCACACCGGCCCGCAAAACTGTGCTTTTTTGACCTTCCCTCGTTTCAGAGTACTTCAAAGGTTTGCCAGTGCTGAGACCCAGCCGGAGCATGACGCGATGCTGCCTTTCCTCAGACATCCACAGCTTCAGCTGGTAGACATGGGCTGAGGCATCACAGCTCCTCCTGATTTCCTCACCTTCCCCTTCTCTGTTTTCTAGCAAGGCTTTCCCTCACCCAGGCAGTACCGCAAGCTTGTTTTGCCTCGCTGATGCTCTGAACTCCACCTAGTCCTTGCCTCCATCCAGAGACCTTTCCCTGTGTGTCACCCATTCCTGCCCACCGCTGCCTCTGCTCTCTGGAGAGCTCGGCCTCGACAGTTGGAGAGCGGCAGAACAGGCCCATTTTTAGCACCTTTTATGGGATGTTGGTTGGCCCCAAGAGACTTTCATTTTGACGCTTCTGTGAAGTGAAAAAAAATTCACTAAATTTGGTGAAGCTTTGCCGCAGAGGAGCCTTCAGCTCCGGGCAGAGGCTGTCGGTGGGTTTGCTGCACTGCGATGCGCTTCACCAACACAAAACCAGACAGCGGGTGTATGTGCTTGGCACGTTTCGGTAGCTTTACTGATTTCAAACTATCTTTAAATCACAAGATCTCTTTTGTTTCCTCCTGCTGCTGCAGTTGAGTGGGTGAAGGGTGCTCAGAGATCCGCTGTGAGGAGATGGATGTTTGGGGGCTGGAAGGAAGCATTTCCCTGATCCATTACCTGGATCAGACAATCCCAGGCGTGTAACGGATATTCAGAGGGACAGCTTGGACCCAGCTTCTGCCCTGAGTTGCAGGGAAGGAGGTTTCTTACACAATGCAGAGCCCTTGTTGAAACGTTGGCTGCGATTTACAAACCTTCTCAGTGAACCAGGGTGGGTTTTAACCCATAACCACAACTGGGTCTTCATGGGCATGGGGCACGGGACAGGGAGAAGCAGAGCTCAGCCTGGGGGGGCATTTCATGCTGCAGGTGGAATTTTGTGATGTAGGAAAACACAGGGCAAGGAGCTTGCTGCCTTTGCTGGAGATGGTGGCCAGGACATCCCGCTCGGGGGTGGCTGTGTGGCCATGCCAGGGAGCAGAGAGAGCAGGAGTTCTTTTTATGCTGGAAGACGTAGATCGAGGCCAGAGAGAGAAAAATCGAGGCCGAAAGGGCTGTTTGGGGTTGTGTCTGTTTGGAGATCCCCGTATCTTGCAACTTCTCCCTCACAACATCCGCAGGAGATGCAGCTTCCCCAAACGGCCGGAGGTTCAAACGTTCCTCTGGGGTGGCGCAGGGGCTGGGGCAGGAAGGTGTGATTGGTGAGAGCGGGGCCCCCGCTGCGCTTTAAAGCCTCCGACTGCAATCGCTGCGAGCAGATGACGAGGTGTCACAGCACATCCTGCACCCGGCCCCGACCATGCAGCCCCTCCAGCGCTCCCACCTGCTCTTCCTCCTCGCCCTCCTTGTCCTCTGCATGGTAAGAGAAACCCCACGGCGTGGGGACTCATGGAGACTTGGGGGGGGGTCCAGCCAGCTCTGTCCTGTGGGTGTGACGGCAGTTTTGGGGACTGTGGGGTTCAACTGGTGGGAGAATTGCTGCTGGACTTCAGCCTTTGACTTTCTTTTTGACTTCAGCCCTGGCTGTGGTCTTGTAAGGTCTAAATACTTCCACGCGTTGCTTTTTTAAAGCTTTTTTTATTTAGTAAGAGCATCGTGCAGATCTGTAACCTTCACGTGTAGCTTTCTACCACATCCTGCAGCCTCTCCTTTGCACGCTGGCCCCAGCCCGTGCTCGGTGTGGGGACACCGAGGGTGGCTGCAGGGCCATGGGGACACCGGGTGGGCACACAGCTGTCCCCATTCCTCTCACTTCTCCCCACTGGAGGCTATTTTCCTTCCCCCTGGGAGGCTCCACGGGGGGCTGGTGGATGTTGTCTCTCTCCTGTGTGGGGACCGTTGTGTAGGTGGGACGAAGGTGGTGGGGTTTCAGGGAGGTGATGCTTTTCAGGGCAGCTCTGGGGATGATTTTTTTTTTTTCTACAGCATTTTAGACAGATTTGTGTGGGGTTGAAAAGACCTCATGGCATAAGAGTGCCTGCGAGAGGGGGCAGAGCCGGGCGTTGGGGCTCTATCCTGGGTCTGGAGGGACCTGGGGAATGGTGAAAACCAGTATGGGGGCTGGTGCAGATGGAAATGGTGTCCCTTTTCCAGCAGCCCTGCTGTGGTCCCCGTTCACAGGCGTAATGTACAGCCCTGTACACCAGGGGTTCTGGGAAAGGACCAATAATCCAGAGAGAGCAGAGTGATCCTGCACACTCAGGGCACGAGAGATTCACGCAAACGCCTTCATTTGGAAGGTGCTGATTTTTAGAGATGGAAGGAAACTGCCCCAATGTCACCATTTCACACACCGCCCGACACATCCCTGCTCATGACAGCCCCGGGGAAATGGGGGTCCCTCCTCCTCCCTTTCACACCTCCACTTCTGCATCTGCAGGCCCCGTGGGCCACCACAGCCCCAGCCACTTCCTTGCCACCATCTGAGGGGCAGAGACCAATCCCTGGCTCCTACTTCACAGAATCTTAATGGTTGGAAACAACCCCTGAGATCACCAAGTCCAACCATAAACTGGTTGGACCCTCAACCCCCGTTGCCGTGATGGGTCCCAGGCTGGCGTTTTTGGGACCACCCAACTCAAATTTCCTTCTTGAGGTGATGAGGACCCCAACTCACCCCTTCTGCTGGGGCTTCCCCCTGTTTCTAAAAGCTGCTGGCTAGAATCAAGAGCCTAATCAGGCGAGGGAGAGCTTGGGGAAAACCCCGAAGGCAACGGGGACTTCTGCATGTGGTGTGAAGGGGAACCTGTGGTGGGAGAGTGGTGGCCATGTGTCCCCCAGGGGAGGGGGCAGTGGGGTGGCCCTGGCTCCTTTCTGCCCCAGGAGAATCATAGAATCGTCCAGGTTGGAAAGGACCTTAAAGATCATCTAGTCCAACCATCAACCTAACTCTGACAAAAAAATAAGAAAGAAGCAATAAAAAAATCACTAAACCATATTCTTGAGGACCATGTCAACCCGTCTTTTGAACACCTCCAGGGATGGTGCCTCAACCACTTCCCTGGGCAGCCCATTCCAATGCTGGAGAACCCCTTTTGTGAAGAAATTTTTCCTAATATCCAATCTAAACCTCCCCTGGTGCAACTTGAGGCCATTTCCTCTTGTCCTATCTCCCGTGATGTGGGAGACGAGACCGACTTCTCTACACCCCCCCTTCAGGGAGTTATAGAGCGCGATAAGGTCTCCCCTCAGCCTCCTCTTCTTCAGACTGAACACCCCCAGCTCCCTCAGCCTCTCCTAGAATCACAGAATCATAGAATTGCCCAGGCCGGAAGGGACCTCCAAAGGCCATCTAGTCCGACCTCCCGCAGTCAGCAGGGACACCCCCAACTAGACCAGGTTGCCCAGGGCCTCGTCGAGCCTCTCCTTGAATATCTCCAGGGAAGGGGCCTCAACCACCTCCCTGGGCAACCTGTTCCAGTGCTCCACCACCCTCACAGTGAAGAACCCTCTCCTCATCTCCAGTCTAAATCTGTTCCCCTCCAGCTTGAAGCCATTGCCCCTCGTCCTGTCACTGCAGGCCTTTCTAAACAGGTTCTCCCCAGCCTTCCTGTAGGCTCCCTTCAGGTACTGGAAGGCTGCTATTAGGTCTCCCCGGAGCCTCCTCTTCTCCAGGCTGAACAACCCCAGCTCCCTCAGCCTGTCCTCG